GCGTTTTCTTTTAGATGTGGACACAGCTTCAATGAATCATTTTTTTCTAAATTATGTACTTCGCGAATAGGTTTCATTGATATTTCGTTATGTGGTAAGTTATATAGTCTGACAAGTGTATCGTCCAAATAAAATTTGTTGCCTGTTGTTAACGAGCACGCAACGGTTTTATACACGTGGACTGAATCTGGCATAATAAATAATTTTTCCTCATTAGAGCATGGATGTGCAGTATAATTATTGATTTTAGAATGTTTACCAACTGTGATATTCATGATTCTCCACCAACTCCTATTTTGTGGTCCCATATCGGAAATGACTGCTTTTATTTTTATGCCAATATCATTTGCTTTTTGAATAATTGCTGTAATTATTTGAACTATTTCTTGTGAGCAAAATGAATTTGCTGTAAATTCATATGCTATTGTTTGTTTCCACTTTGAGGAAATGCCGCACAGCATGAAAACAAGAGCATGAGTTGCTTGTTGTTGAGAACTGTCAAATCCACCTGATAGTTTTATTGTTGGCCGTCCCACAACTGAAGCAATGGAATGATCGTATTGTAAGCCAGGTTTTATTGACATTTCGTCGAAGAGAAGTACTGCATGCTTTTCTTCACTGTTGAACGTTTGTACCTACAATGAAATTAGAAAGCACTGAAAGCAAATAATTAAAACTAAATTTAAAGGAATGAAGGACTAAGAGTCATGACAGGATGTTAGTGTCTAAATATTTCATATTTTAAAATTTATTGCAAAAAATATTACCTCAACCAGGGTTAAAGTGAGATTATAGTTACTATAAATAAGAGTAAAATAAGAAAAACTAATACAACGGATTTGGGGGAATCTTATTGTCGCCAGTGATAATTAAAAAACGGAGGAGGTAGTTTTCCAAGGAGTCCTTGGAAAACTACCTCCTCCGTTTTTTAAAAACTAATACATTTTTAACTTATAATACTAACTTTTAGTTTTAATATATGCAGGAATTTTTCTAAAATACCTGGCTTACATTTCAAGCCTTGTATGTGATGTTGTATAGTCCGAATGCTTGGATAAGGCAAATTTTGTCGACGCATTTCTTCATAGCCCTTTTGTCCACAGGCTACATATAATTTCAACACTTTGTTAATAGTTTTGATAGACCACGGTGTTCCTCTTTGTGTGTTTTGTGCGATAAAATTTATTTGATCTTTTGTAAATACTTTTTCAAAATTTCTATCTTTTCGTTGCAACTTTCTTTTTAATTGACTGCACATCCGCAATGTCTTTCTTAACGTTCTCTGTAAGCATTTAATTTGTTCTCTTTCACTGATTGTATTTGATGCAGTGTCTCTTGATATCTCCATATTGGTTGCTTCAGCATGCGTTATTCCAGTATGAGTTGCTTCAACATTGATTGTTTTGGTATAGTCATCTACACATATTAATTTCTATTCAAGTAAATTGCATTACTATAATACATGAAATTGTACCCTGGTGAAAATAAAAATTAAAGCGTAAATCGAATGTAAGGGGAGAGTGACAGAAGCGTAAACGAAATGTGTAGAAAGCGTAATTTGGAACAGCGAAGCGTAAAAGAAGCGTTTGAAGTTTCTTTTACACTTTGCTATTCCAAATTACGCTTCCTACACATTTCGTTTACGCTTCTGTCACTCTCCCCTTATATTCGATGTACGCTCCAATTTCTATTTTCACCAGGGTAAGAAAACAACTGAAGTAATCTACATCGCTTTCTTATATGAGTATTATTATATTCTATCACGAGACACGATAGTGTCTCGCGCCAAGTATAAGCGACTAAGTATAAGCGACAAGCCTAACCACGCGCGCGACACCACCGTGTAAGTTTACGCGAGTACACGAGTTGACGGGCCCTCAGATTTTCGGATCTCAACAACGGCTGATCTGACGAACTTGAGACTGCGCTTAATCGATT